TTCAGCCGGTCAGCCTGATATGCTTGGAGCATCACCATCGTGTGCAATGAAGTGACAGCCCGACCTGCTGCTGCTGCGTATGCCCTGGCATCCGAGCGAGATGTCAAGGAGGGGAGTCTTAGAGGACATCTCACTTATAGAGAGATAGCTGACCAGCGTCTCTCTATAGGGGCATCTTCTCATAACTACTTTTGCGCATCGCATCGTTGTTGGCATAACTTGTATGCTGGAATCGATGGATGCATGAAGAAAAACGGCCTCTTCCATTCCGTCTCACTCTTTATATGAAAAACAGGAAGAAAGGAAGGCTCACCTGAGCTGGAGGGTTATGGCCAGAAAAATAACGTTCATCGAGATATTTCGCGACGTTACTTTCTTCATCCACTTCACGGCAAGTAAAGCCTCAACATGGCGCGATCCATAATTTCCAAAAGCTCATCATACGCAGGGCAGGAGGATTGGGAAGGCTCAGCCTCAGCTTCTTTGCCCTCCTCAGCTATTTCCTGCTTTTGCTGGGCTGATCCCAGCAGAGCAATGGCCCCTGAATCAGACAATGTTAATGAAATAACATCATCCTCCAGCGGCTCATTCTCATGCACAGCCGACGATCGCAAAAGGGAAACCCCCCTTCAAACTCATCGGCCAGATCCACCTGCGATCCCCACGAGCTCATTCCCTTCCATGCCTCAGCAGCGGCGGGTCCTGAATCGCGGGAAGCAGATGGCTGCCCCTCTTTCCTCGAAAAAAGAGACAAACGAGAGCAGAGCTTTTTCCTTGGAAAAACGCTCGCAGTGCACGCTGATTGCCCCCTCGGAGACACTGCGTTTGTGCTCTTTGCCCAAACAAACAACGCATAGATCGTGCGTGTCATCAGATGTTAAACAACGTCAATACGGATGCACACATCCTTAAATGCTTTGCTAGTGCTCGCCATAATGAGATAAATAGAGATCGCTCTTACCACAGAAATGCATGCTTCAAACAAAACAGTCAATGAAGATGAAGAAGAGAATGATGTATGCTTCTGGCGCCTATTTATACTATAGTCGCACCGATAGTGACGTCATGGCTGTCGCCGGCCAACGAGTTGGTGTTTTTTTCAATGTATGCTTCAGACACGGGTCACGACGAGGCGTCCCCCCCATAGCGACCCCTAGAGGACGCAGTTCGAAGTTCCCATGAAAGGGAACTACATTTAGAATGTATTTTCAGTTAGTATAGACATGTCAATCTATTTTTAGTATACTTGTCATGAAATAAATATATTTTAAATACAATTAAATATATTTATTTTTCACTAGGGTGTAAACTAGCATTGAAGTGTCATGGCAAACATGTTAAAGACAAGCACACAGGCAGTCCATTTAGTATATTATAGACACTCAAGCAGTTTATTCAGGACACTGAGGAAACTTCTCCTTTGATTTCTAATCTAACAGGTCTGCTTGCTAAACATGTTCAAGATGGCAGCACTTCTGATGAACCAGAAGCAGCTGAACTGCATCTATTTATGGACATATCTATGCTTAGCAACCATAGCTGTGGCATATCCACAGGTAAGTGCGCTCACTCTGAAAAAAGTGTGAACAGATGTCTTTCATGAAATTATGAATAAAATATAATAATGTTTTTTTGAGAAAATTATGTTATGAACCATTTCTTCAAAAACAGGACATGTTGCAGCCCCAACATGACGAGGCTCAGACTTTAAATGCAGGAAATGCTGATAATTCAAAAACTTCAGGTAAGATGTGAATGTTTATAAACATAAATATGATGTTTACAGTTAAACAGTAGTGTCAAATAACAAAGTATAATTAATGCTGCAAGCAGTGTTGAAAGGACCCTTGCACCTGGGCTCACCGACTCTCGGTACATTTAGGAAAGCAGTGAACGGTGAACAATGTGCATTTGTCGAAATGCATTTATCTGCATATGTCAAAGTCATTTATTTGTGCCAAACTTCCAGCTGACGGACACAACCTACAATTAAAAACGCAAGATCTTCACAATTTAACATCACAAGGGCCTTTAGATTACACTGACCAAATTTGGTGTTGATCTGACTAAATCTCTAGGAGGAGTTTGTTAAAATACAACACCTGAAAATGGCAAAAACGACACAAAATGTGCTAAGAAAATTCAAAATAACTGACTTCCTTTGTGCTTTATACTAATGAGTGTCAAACGCAACTAGAGAGGCATCATATCAAGTTTGCGGATGATTCAGTGATTGTTTCTCTTTTAAATAGTGAAGATCTTGATCATGGTCCTGTACTGGCAGATTGTATTGATTGGTGTAAATTGTCCTTTCTGGACATTAATGTACTTAAAACTAAAGAGATGATTATAGATTTTAGGAAGAATCCTACAGTCATCTCTCCTGTGGTCATTAATGATCATGTTGTTGAGGTTGTACATCAATTTAAATACCTTGGTACTGTAATAGATGAAAAGTTTACCTTTGAGGCTCATGTGGATGCTGTATGTAAGAAAGCCCACCAGCGTATGTTCTACCTGTGGAAGCTTTGCAGTTTTAAGGTGGACAGTACCTTCATGATGTTTTACTCTTGTTGTATTGAATCTGTCATTACTTTCTCATTTGTGTGTTGGTAGGGGTCACTAAACGTTAAAAACAGAAACAGATTGCAGGGTATTGTTAAAGTGTGTGTTAAGATTGATGGCACCACTTTAAATTATTTGAACGACTTGTATAAGGCTAGGACTTTGAAAAAGGCTGAGCTAATTATGAATGATCCCAGCCATCCCTTGCAAAATGTTTTTAAGTTGCTTCCTTCTACTCGCAGATATTATTTGCCTTTATGTAGGACCAATAGATTTAAAAATGATTTTATACCAGCTGCCATTGGCTTTTTAAATTATAAAGAATTTTATGTATATTATTAATGGAAGTAATTGTTTTTGTTTGTGTTGTGGTTGCTTGTTTGTTGTTTGCATATGGTTTACTGTTGGCTGTAAAACAAATGGCCCTTTGGGGATAATAAATTTGACCTTAACCTTGATGGGTTTTGTTTTTTGCACCAAGAGACTTTTTTGTAGGTATTCGTGTGTTACATGTGTGGATCGATTTTCGTATATGTACGTGAAACATAGGGGGAGAGGCACTTCATTTAAAAGTGAATAGGTGGTGCTATCGAGACATTTTGCCACACCCACTTCTGAAACCCATATCAGAGGTAAATTTTCACCACTTCAGGCATGTGTGCAAAGTTTCATGACTTTTTGAGCATGTTTAGGCCCTCAAAAATGAGATTCATTTTGAAGAAGAAGAAGAAGAAGAAGAATTAAAGCTGCATGAAGCATTGAAAGGGCCTTCACACCCAGGCTCACCTTCACCCGGTGCCTTTAGGAAGACAGCAAACAGTGGCCAATATGCATTTAATGTTGTAAATATAGGAGGAATATGTCAAAGTAATTTATATGTGCCAAACGTCCTGCTGCCAGCTGGTGGTGTTATGACTATAACTGAATATTGGCATGTAGATGTTTTCAGGCCAGGACTCTTACCAAACATGTGAAGTTTGGTGCAGATTGAATATGGTATGTTTGAGTCAGTGTAAAACATGACATATCATGTTACCAGCAGGTGGCGCTAAGATTACAATGGAATATTGGCCTTTAGATGTGTTCAGGCCAGGACTCTTACCAAACATATAAAGTTTGGTGCAGTTTGGACATTGTATGCATGACTTAAAACAACTTACTGTTTCGTTGTATTAATAGCATGCTTTAGGACTTAGTAAGCTAGCATGTTTGAGCATGTTTCCAGCATGTTGCTAGCCTATTTAACACTCTTTGTTTGCACGTGTCAATGGTTACGAATAGATTAAATGAAAAGGGACATAATTAATCTTGACAAACTATATATCATTCTAAAGGTCTAAGCTTCAAGCATCGACAATAGATCACTGTTTTTCAATGGAAAGCTTATAAAGAATGTATTTGCTAAATTTGTGTAAGCAGTACACATCAAAACATGCATAATCAAAACGCAGTACGTACCAGATTCATCGTAATAACGACTCATAAACGCACCCACAGCTGTAAATCCCAGTTTAGTTAGAAAGGTAAAGGTCCACTGAACAACATCCCATAGAGCACTTTTAGTCCAACGAAACAATAACATTATAATATGGATGGTAATTCCTTTGTTTACGTCTCATTTCTTCAGGGAGAGATGTTGTTTGTATTCGTTATGGAATGACTTACGCTCAAAAAACTGCATCTTGGTAGTAAAAAGCAACATGGTTTTGTAGCACAGTGTTTCCCAACCGAGGTGCCGTCTGTCGAGAGCAGGGGTGCCGTGTAAAAAATCATTTTTTAATATTTTTAAATTACTAAAATGTTCAAAAAAGCATCTATTATATAATATCCATTTCTGATGTCACCAATAATTAGAGATGCACCGAAATTCCGGCTGCCGAAAATTAGTTCACCTCTCAGGATTTACTTTCACGTGGTGTGACGCTCTGCGTATTATCCCGGTCTATGCGTGTGCTCTCCGCTCAGTCGCTCCACTCGTATACTGTTCATGCGAATCGGAACAGCAAAGTCTACTCAAAAATTGAGCCGACAGGAAACATCGATGTAGTACAGTATTGTTTCTCTCTGCAATAGCCCTACTGTGTTGTAACATGGTGTGGTGTATGGGCAACTCTGGTAACGCTGCCCTCTCATTCAAAGAGGTCATATGATGCTGCTAAAAAGAACATTATGTTGTGTATTTGGTGTAATGCAATGTGTCTATGCGGTTTAAGGTTAAAAAAACATTATTTTCCACAATGTACATTATTGTTGCTCCTCTATGCCCCGTATTTCTGAAACACGTAAATTTTTACAAAGCTCATTGTTCTGAAAAGTGAGGTGTGCTCTGATTGGCCAGCTATCCAGTGCGTTGTGACTGGCTGAATACCTCAAGCGTGTGACGGAAATGTTACGCCCCTTACCATACTGTGATGTGTGATTACCGTGACATGTGGCCAAGTATGGTGACCCATACTTGGAATTAGTGCTCTGCATTTAACCCATCCAAAGTGCACACACACAGCAGTGAACACACACACACCGTGAACACCCACCCGGAGCAGTGGGCAGCCATTTATGCTGCGGCACCCGGGGAGCAGTTGGGGGTTCGGTGCCTTGCTCAAGGGCACCTCACCTTCAATAACACGACTGAGGTGCCCTTGAGCAAGGCACCGAATACCAGTCCCAGCAAGGGGAATAACTATGTTTTCACGGTTGCTTGGGCTGAACACATGGCTACAAAGAATCTGCAGCTTAAATGGAGTCAATTTCATCGACAACTTCAATCTTTCCTGGGGCCATAGACAACTGTTTAAACTGGATGGCCTCCACCCAAACAAACTTGGTGCAAGAGTGCTAAAGGACAATATCTACTTCTCCCTCCATGATCCTTCAGTAGTGTGTGCCAAACTACTCAACCTGAATGGCACACACCTGGACAGAGTCATGTGTGTGATGACAGGACTTCATATCAGCTTCCGAGTCATCATGTGGTTGACACATCCCACAAGGACACTGATAACACCATGCAGCCACAACAAGCACTGCTCATGGACACCATCCCGGCTGAGCCCTACCCACAGAGCTCATCACAGACAGACTGTGATGTATCAGAACAGCTCCAAGGCTCAGCACCCAAGGACAACTTTATGGAAAACAGCCAGGGAAGCCAGGACAACATATCACAGCCACCGGTGTAACAGGCACAGGCCTGTTGCCATGTTTTCTCTGACTGAGTGTAATATTATGACACACCACCAGAGGCGCCATGAGACTGTAGTGTCTGGTATATACCCAGGTGTGTAGTAGAGCAAGACAGATTTGTGGGGCAGAGGAAGCATGGCTTTCCTTCTGCGTTTGCAGAAACTCCTTTGAGTCCTGATTGGGAAACTTTGGGTTTTAAGCTCAAAGTAAGGAGTATTTTCATTTCTTCCCTTAATTTGTTCTACGCATTTTTGGTGTGGTTTTTGTATGGGTTTGTAATCAATGCACATGCTTTTTCTATGTTTTTCTGTGTGGTATGAGATTGTTTGCTAAATGGCATGACTGCTAATGTTAAGTTTATGTCTAATATTGTAGGAGGACTCTTTATTGCTACGAGTAGTTGTATGGTTACCATTCATTGCTTGGAGTTCACAAGATGCTTTTCATCCATGAACTGCATCTTTATGTCACCTTGTGGATCTCTTGGATCTCATGCACGAGAATTAAAACCAGGTCAATGTTGAGGAACAAAAGAAGAAACCCCAATCTTCTCACGATTTTCAACGCAAACCTCCATTATTGGTTCCAGTATCTCTTGGTCCACTATCTCTGGTTCCAGTTTCTCTTGGACTCATCGAAATCCCTTTCTATCTGTGTCCCTATTCTAACCAACTCTCTGACCTCTTTAACAGCTAATACCAGAGTAGTCCAATCCAATAATAACTCAACCCATACTGATTTAAAGACAGTAACCATTCCCATCATCCTACAAGACAGATACATCAAAGCTATGTGTAATGTCTGATTACTTAATTTTTAGGGAATTAATTATTATTAATTCATTCAGGTTTTGAGAGGACTCGAATCTGAAAATTCGGAGTCAACCCGATTAGAACTGATTTCAAATTTTAATAGTTTACACCTTATCAATAGTCGTCCAGCGAGACGTTAATGTCCGTGTATCTTAACAAACTGACTATGTGTATTTTCCTTGGCCACAGGTCAATACAATTATGATAATTTGTAAGCTCCTAGCGAGGTAACGTGATCTTGGCAAGGTTTGACTTTAAAATTATACGACACCGGACAATGATTCTTTATAAATGAAACATGAATTTATTGGCTATTCTAAATTACATTGACCGAAGACATACACATACACATACACACACACACACATACATACAGTCTCTGAAGAATGAAAATTATGTTAACAGCAATGATTCTTTATAAATGAAACATGAATTTATTGGCTATTCTAAATTACATTGACCGAAGACATACACATACACATACACACACACACACATACATACAGTCTCTGAAGAATGAAAATTATGTTAACAGAGTTCTGAGGAAAGCCCAAAGTTTTAGCAAGATATTCGCTACAGTTGTCTTACTTGTGACCTGAGAAAATCACAAAGCAGAGGTTTGTCTTACGTTTACTGCTTAAATGGTTCAGCACCTATTTCAGTGGATAGGAGACCTCGTTTGTACTTGCGTTTTGGGTAACAGCTGAAAAGCTGAGATTTCCTCGTGGCTGCTGGAGGGAATTACTTTGCTGATTGGCTGTTGATCTGGCGCCTGAATGACTTTTGGATGACGTCCTTTTGGGAGAGCCCTCGTTGGATTGATTGGTTGCCAGGTTACGGAAGAGCCTCGAAGTTCGTCTGAGAGAGTCTGCTTTAGCAAGACTTTGCGTTCTGCAGAGTTACGAAGCTTCAACAGAATAGTTGAGTCCTTAGATGGTCGATCGCCTGATGGTTCAGCTTGTGAGCACAAGTTAGAGTGCTCTCCACACGGCGACAAGGCCTTGCTCGGGAAAGCAAGTTGCGAAGAGCCTGTGTTCGGGAGAGCAAGCGGCAAAAGCCTTCACTCGAGAGAGTAAACAGCGAGAAGCAATTGAACCTGTGTTGCAGTGGGGATTTGATCTGTGGCATACGTCCGTCTCACGGCGCGATCTTCCAATTGCCTTCTTGCAAGGCGGAGCGTGCATACATTAACAAGAGGCTCCAATTTATTATGTGGAGAAAAATCTTTGTGAAGACTTGGTTGATACTTTTATAAAGTTTCCTAATGCAAGTATTGTACATACTTCTCACTTCTCATTCAAACCAAAGTTTCTCACATAAACTGCTTGGGCCCTGGGATGCTGGTAGCAGTTTTCAGGTAGGCTAGTACTGCAGAACGTGCCTGTGAGAGATAAAAAAATCTGTGAAAACCTCTGCAAGCTGATTGGCACAATCCCAGACGACCCTGCCTGGAATCCTTTTGTGACAAGTGGGGTGGGGCCGAGAGCCATGGGAACGGAGTGAGGCCGGTGGAGTAAATGATAACGCACGACACCTGCACCACTCATCGGTCTCGAGTCCCACGGAGGAGCGATGACATTGCAAGACGAGAGAGGACCAGGCCTGGACTTTATTTTGTTTTGGTTCTGTTTGTGCATGGCAGTCGCTGTGAGGGGCTGTGTTTATTTTATTATTAAAGTTTTGTTTGAATGTTCGCCGGTTCCCTCCTCCTTCTTCCCAAGCTACGAACTTTGTTACACCTTTGTTCTGCTACACACAGAGAAAGATATTTTGAAGCATTTTGGTACCAAAACAGTTTTTGGGCACCATTCAATTCCATAGTATTTTTTCCTGCTATGGAAGTCAATGCTGCCCACAAACTCCTTGGTTACAAACATTCTTCTTCACTCTAACCTTATGCTTATGTGATTGCGCTGTTGCCTCTGTCGACCCCTGAGGGTTAAAAATAATGTTCCCCAATGCAGCTAAATATAAATATCATATATATATATATATATATTTTTTTTTTTTTTTACTACAGGCTTAGAATCACAGACCATTGAACTGGCAGCCCTAGGAAGACCTCTGTTTCTTGGTATGCTGTATGACTGCCGCAAGGATTCCTTCATTCCAGGTGGTGTACAAACAAACAAAACAGACTTCCTTCTTCACCAAATGTTAAATCTAGTCAACATGCTAAACGAGTCCTTCTGGAGCAACACTTTAAACCCTTTAAAATCACTTCCTCTTACATAACTGTTAAAACCTCTTCTCATTTCAGGTGTTACTCTGTGGGATAAGAAATCCCTGAGTGAAGATCTGGACAGTCGTCCACAGCCACTCACAGATTTGAAGTTCAGTCGCTCTGACTCACCATCTAGTAAGGCTAGCCTCCTGGATGTTAGTGTTTCCCTGAGGGCCAGCTTCTTGGGTGGGCTCGTGGAAGTGGGAGGATCGGCCAAGTTCCTGCATGACACCAAATATTCAAACCAACAGTCCCGAGTAACAATGTATTACAGTGAAACCTCAAGATTTGAACAGCTCACTATGACCCATCTGGGCAAGATCACCTATCCTCAGGTGTTTGACCAGAAAACCGCGACTCATGTGGTCATGGCGGTACAGTACGGAGCTCAGGCCATCATGGTGTTCGATCGGACAATTTCAGAAGAGGAAAACAAACAGGAGATCGAGGGAGAACTGAATCTCATGGTCAAGAAGGTTCCTCAATTTTCCCTGGAGGGAAAAGCAGCTTTAAAAATGACAGATTCTGAAAAGAAAACAGCTGAGAAGATTGCCTGCTCATTTCATGGTGACATTAGCCTTAAGCAGAACCCCACCACATACATGGAGGCCCTGACCCTGTTCAAGGAGCTCCCCGCTCTGGTGAAGGAGAATCCTCAGAATATGGTTCCGATCAAAGTCTGGCTGTATCCCCTTAATCTTTTGGATACAAGAGCAGCTCGGATGGAGAGAGAAATCAGCACAAGCGTAGTTTTTAGTGCTGAAGATATAATGGAGGGACTGTTGGAGGCAGAGAGGACATACAACGACCTGTCCAAAAGCACAGTAGTAAATGCTTTTAGTGACATCAAAGAGAGGCTGCGCTCATTTCAGAGATCGTTTAACATTTACAAGGCAATGTTCCTGAAAGCAGTCGGCAGGGTCTTGCCTGCAATTCGAGAAGGAGAAATGGAGGAGAAGTCACTGGAAGACATCCTAAGGATCCACAGGAGCTCCCCATTTAATGTTGGCATTCTCAACCAGTGGTTAAATGATGCAAAGTCTGAACATACCCTCTTGAGTGTTTTCACCAAGACATTGAAGGGGATCAAAATTGAAGACTCAGACCGTCTCAACACCTTCCTCCTTAATCCTGATATCGATTTTGTGGTGAGCTTGACTTTCACCTCTCTGCAGTATGAAGACCCATATCTTCCAACCCTAAAGGAGTTTCTGAAAACTGACAAGTTTAAAGAGCTAGATGGGGAAAAAAACATGGTTCCTGTGCCATCTGTCAAAAAGTGGTTCAATGATCTCGATGTCATCACAAAGATGAGAGAGGACTTATCTCGTTTTAAAAGTTTTACAGAAGCCAATAAAGACAATAAGAGAATCCACTTCATTATTTCTGCCATCTCTGATCCCTCCAGTCCAGGCTCCTCCATTTATCTGTATGAAAAAGGAAAGCTTGCAGACACAAAGTACCAGCTCGTTTCCAAGCCGCCCCAACCGATAGTGAAAAGTGCCGATTTTGAAGGTGTTTTCCTGAAACTGCACAAATCCCCAACTGGTAAAACAGTGAAGTACCGAGTTGAGTACACAGAAATAAAAACATTTCTAACTCCTGAACGTCAGGTTGTCATAGACACAACAGATGAAGACTTTTCTCTGACTAAATTTAATTGGCACCACTCCATCCAATACAGAGCAGTGGATAAACTGGGAGTGAGTGAGGCCAGTGATCCTGTCAGCCCTGGACCCATGATGGGTAACTGTCATCTACACATTTTTATGCATTACTCCTTTTGTTCAATTACATATTCTACATTGACACATTTAGTAGCTACATTAAGTGGTCACTTTTACTTTCAATCATTCTATTTGATGAATGTGAACATAGTACTTACATGAAAGCTAAATAAAACGATTAGATGTGAGCATTTATGGCTGCATTTATGGCAGCAATCTTAAGGTGCAGTATGTAGAATTTTACACCTAGCGGCTGAAATCGATACTGCCATTTAAATAAAAAAATATCAGAGACAAACAACAGGAATGATCACAGCTGCCCACGAAAGCAATGAGTCTTACACTGTAAGCTGACGTCTTGCTTTATCTGTGTTTCAGTATCTCTCTCTGGTCATATAGCTTATTAGATGGATGCTGAGGCTTTTTAGGTGGGGTAGAATCTGCGATCTCTGACCTAGTTTGTTTCCCGGCTTTTATGACTGGCAATTGACAGGATCACACAGATCAATACAAAGACAGTAATGTTCACATAGAATGCACATTTCAAAAAAATATAAAATATGTATAGCCTGAATGCACTCTAAGTCGCTTTGGATAAAAGCATCTGCTAAATGCATAAATTAATAATGAATTAATATTAATTATTACAAATGGATTGATTATTCAGGTCCATGTGAACGCAGCTAGTGCTACAGCAAATTAAGCCCAAAGTATACAGCTGTTTTGTTTTGTTTTGTTTTTACTAGGGATGCACCGATACAATGCCAGTATCTGTATCGGGCCCAATACTGTGCTTGTGTACTTGTACTCATTAAAATGCTCCGATACCAAGAGCCGATACCACGCAGCATTTGTGTTCAGACAAAGAGACACAGACAACAGAGCAAACAGAAAATGAAGATATCAGAGATACGTGCTTGTCAAGTGCATCCTTTGTTCAAAGACATCTCTGGAATGTGTGTAGTTCGGTCGGATATATAAGCAGCAAAGAAATTAAAACAAAACACATATTACTAACTGTAAATGACGAGAGAGAGAAAGAGAGAGCGAGAGCACGCACTTCTGTTGCATCATGCTGTTGACTGCTGATCACGCACTCAGCACACATGCATCTTTTTGATTAAAACTAAATCGCATACAAGTAATGAACTGTTAAGTGATGTGTGTATAACAAATGGTTCCCTAGATTTTTACATGAAAACGTGTAATTACTGTGCTGATGCACTGGACAGCACTAACCTGTTCAGGACACAGGATGGGACGTGGCCCACTTCAGTTAAAGGAACTATCACTGTCCAGATAAGGCCAGAGCTGCATCGCCCCGAAAATGTATCCTTTGCACGAGCATTGTCAGTTTAAGAAGATGCGAAAGACAACTCCATACACACCTCTCAGTACACAAACACTTTCACATGTCTCTCATGCCAAATGCCCATTTTAGCAAGTTTCCTAGTAAACATACTGTAGTCGTTTATGACTTATCAGCTGTGAAATAAAGTGCATATGCAACAATATTTAATCTTCCTGCATTCAGCCTTAAAGATGGGGTAAGTGATTTCTGGTAGCCAATGTTGATATTTCAAATCACCAAAACAAACATGCCCCTGCCCCAAAAGGGTCTCGCCCATATTTTGATAGCTCCGCCCCACACATACGTATGCAACCCAGGCAATGATTATGGCGCAATCTCCTGAATTATTATTATCTGCTGTAATAAACATATTATCTTACTTTACAGACACACTTTGGCAGCTGATGCTTGAAACAGACAGTGGAGGAGGTTTAGACACTCCAGGTTTATAGAGTGTGCAAGTAAATGTGTCTTTATCATAGCTGAAGGGAACAACAATATGATTGCAGATGAATAAATAAGCAAACATGACACAAGCATATTCAAGCAAAAGCCAGCATATATTAGTTCTGTGAAACAAAGCAAAACCAATGTTACTCACCTATCAAGAAGAAACAAAGCAACCTCGGTGTCCGATCCCAGGCCTTCCCGCTCCTTGAGTTCTCTCCAGCGCTGGAAAGCTGATCCGAAATTTACACGGGTCCTACTTCTTGCCTTATCGTAAGCATTCTGTTGTTCCACAGACGTTTTCTATGGGATCATATTCCCACCAAATGTATTGCAGTTACGGATAAAAAAATAACAAGTGTGAAACCAAAATTTAAAAACGCAAGTAAAATTATATTGCACAAAATTAAAAAATGAAAGCAAACTTTTCGGAATAGCAAACAATGGTCACGGATCAAAAAATAAGTGTAAATCAAAAATGTAATAATGCATAAAAAAAAATAATAAGCACGAATCAAAACTTTAAACACACTTAAAATCATATTGCACAAAACTGAAATATTAATGCAAAATTATCAGAGTTGCACACAAAATCATGTTTTCCTTGGTTATATTTGTCAGTTTTTTGTGCTCTCAGACATTTTCTGCACATATTTAAATTTTTTGTATGCTTATGCTGTTTTTCCCTTTGCTCTTTATTCCACGTTCTGCCCTTCTTCTTCCAAATGTTGCGGTTAGAGTTTGATGTAAATCAGGGAGTGTTACAACATCATCATTGGTCCACTAGTTCTAGATTGACAGCTCCTCCTCAGCCAATCAGTCAAAGAGGGGCGGTGACATCACTCCAACGCGCCTCATTACTGCCGATGCTCCGTGTTCTGTTCACTTGTACAGGTGAAAATAGACAACTGTCGGCTGGGAAACATCTTTCCATATAGGACACCGTTATATGAGTCTGTCTGTCACTACTGTTGATTCAGTGAGGAATAAAGCCAATCATGCAATACGAAAAGCTCCTGTGTTGCTAAAATTATATTGCACAAAATTAAAAAATGAAAGCAAACTTTTCGGAATAGCAAACAATGGTCACGGATCAAAAAATAAGTGTAAATCAAAAATGTAATAATGCATAAAAAAAAATAATAAGCACGAATCAAAACTTTAAACACACTTAAAATCATATTGCACAAAACTGAAATATTAATGCAAAATTATCAGAGTTGCACACAAAATCATGTTTTCCTTGGTTATATTTGTCAGTTTTTTGTGCTCTCAGACATTTTCTGCACATATTTAAATTTTTTGTATGCTTATGCTGTTTTTCCCTTTGCTCTTTATTCCACGTTCTGCCCTTCTTCTTCCAAATGTTGCGGTTAGAGTTTGATGTAAATCAGGGAGTGTTACAACATCATCATTGGTCCACTAGTTCTAGATTGACAGCTCCTCCTCAGCCAATCAGTCAAAGAGGGGCGGTGACATCACTCCAACGCGCCTCATTACTGCCGATGCTCCGTGTTCTGTTCACTTGTACAGGTGAAAATAGACAACTGTCGGCTGGGAAACATCTTTCCATATAGGACACCGTTATATGAGTCTGTCTGTCACTACTGTTGATTCAGTGAGGAATAAAGCCAATCATGCAATACGAAAAGCTCCTGTGTTGCTTGTAAAGGACACTGTTCTGCTGTGGCTTTTTTGGACTCTTCGTCGAAATAGAGCAAAATCAGAAAATAGTTACTATTAATAGTTAACTCACTCAAAATATACTTAGTTATATTGATTCAGTTCAATAAACATTTGCAATGGTCCTAATATTAGGAAAAACACTCTTCCTCGTGATGCCAACCTCCTGCTGGGCTCACATACCTCTCATTTCCATAAGTGAATCGTTAGACACGGTGTTAAAAACATTTGGTTGATAAACTATTAGCCTATTTATTTTGTAAAGAAGGCTTTGTACTTCTCTCGTATCTGAATATCTACTTAAACAACATCCTTCACATATGCAAAAAATGTGTTTGGAAAACATCACAGCATGGCGATGCTCGCGCTGACCGGCAAAACCTACATATTTTACAAAAGACAAGCTAAATTGAGTCACCAATACCTTTTGTATGTTAAGTTGTCTCATTTACTTTGATGATGAAGAGACTGCGATGTAAAGTTTGCAATGCTAGAACTGATTACGCGTGGGAGGCGCCGGCGAGAACACTTGGATAACTCACATCAGCGGAAAGATGTGATAGATAGAGCAAGACAAAATTCAGAACGATCTATTTTTTATCTATGTACCTTCAAAATAACAGTGAAAAGTTGTACTGTTGTAAAATAAAGGAAACAAACAAAATGCACTTGCCGTCTCTGTGAAACCTCTTCCTTAAATGAAGAAAAACTCAGCGATACTGTCTAACGTTATACTTGTCACACAGAATGAGAAATATATTTATAGAAACCTTGAAGTGCCTGCTTTTACCTGTTTACATTTTGCTTATTTGACATTAAATGCATTATATAAGTCACTTTGGAATATAAATCATAGCACGTTTAGAAGATAAAACATGCAACGTGTAGTCCAGAAAATACATAATAGCAAAACATTTTGCGGGATCCCTTGGCTTTGGGTCACGACACGGACCCCTGTTTGAAAACCCCTGCTCTTACTCATATTATCCTCTCCTAACAGAAATATATTTACCTTTACATTTATTTATTTATCAGATGGTTTTATCCAAAGTGACTTACAAATGATGACAATGGAAACAATCAAAATCAACAAAAGAGCAATGATATACAAGTGCTATAACAAGCCTCAGTTAGCTCAACGCAGTACACGTAGCAAGGGTTTTTAAAATAATATAATAAATAAAAAGAAAACAGATAGAATAGACCTCAATTACTAGCTTGCTCTATTATTTTTCTATTTGCTTTTTTTAATTGTATAATAAATGAAAAGAAAACAGATAGAATACAAAAAGATTAGAAAGATTTTTTTATTTTTATTAAAGAATAGAATTAGAATAGAGAGTGCTAGAGTTAGAGGGTCAAATAAAGATAATAATTACCATAACATAGGTAATAACCATAACAAGACTTATAATTAGTCAGGTAAATACGAGCCAGGCACATCAGTCACTTTGAGAGGCCGGTGCATTTAGTAGCTGATCCCTTTCGCAATGTGACCAGAGGCGAATAAATACAGGTGAATATAACTGCGACAGGTC